CCTAATTCAGTAAAGTGTCCTTGCGTCCTCCCCTTTACGTTAAAATAATTTTCGAAAGTGATAGCAGCAAAAATCAACATTTTCTTTACCCGTTTTTTTATATTTTTTTAAATGAAAAAAAAAAATGCTTGTAAGAAGTAATTAAATGCGAGAGCACAAAATAATCTTTGGGAGCAAAGTGATAGTTTGGTTTGGTTATCGTCGTCTCCAACTCTTCTGTTTCATCTGTCGTTTTGGTTGGGCTCTCCCGCCAAAATCCCCCCCCACAGCCATCAGTACGCCCTCCCCATGGAGGCGCGCCCCACAGTTTAGAAAAAACTGAGTCTACTGTAAACTAAGCAGAATATGACATTTTAACACATTCCTTTAAGATTACAGAATAAGGATTGTAGGCTTGTAAGAGGAAGAACTGTGTAAGTGGTGAACATATAAAGCAGTTGTTTTTTTTCTCTATGTCCGTGTATATGAGGTCAATATTTATTATAATTAATACTGCTATAGTTTTAAGAAAAAAAGTTGGACGTCAAAATATTTTCTTAGTCTTATAGATATTGGCTGTTATTTTATGAATTCAATACTTTGAAATTGTGTGCAAAGTGAATAAACCGAACTTTAATATCTAGGAGTGGCAGTGGACTAATACAACACCAGAATAAGTTTATTTTACTTTTTAGTTTATTTCGGCACGCCTTTTTTTCTATAAGTACTGTATGAAGTTTAAAGTTCAATAACTGAAAAGAACATTGTTGTATAACAATATGTCACTACCTATTGTTTCAATGTCATTTTTATGCAAGTATACCACCCCTAGCGTAATCCATATGTCACTATCATCAGTCATCCTAGAAAGGACTCTTGTACAATAACAATTGTTTTTGTAACAAATGGCTTATATTAATAGTGTTCCGATGACTAGTGTGTTTGTTGTATTAAAATATGTATGATGAGCTCTGTATTGAGCGAAACGAGTCGTCGTCATATGACGGATATAATATAGTCAAAATGCTATTATACTCTTCTTCTTGAAAGAAACTCTAAGAGCTTGAATAAATAATACAGTGTTAAAAATATAATAAGCCTAATACTAATGTCTTAGGACAAGTAAGATTAATTATAATCATGCTTCTCAAGCTTATAAAAGGTGTTAACACCATAACAATATGAAATTAAAGTTGAGTGCTTTGATACGTCATCTTTACTTTTTCGTAGCTTTTGTTTAAGTTTACTGAGCTAGGCTTATAAAGGTAAAATAAAAAACGGACAGTATAAAAAGTAAAGAACTGATGAACATTCTTCACTTGTGTACATAACCCTAATTGGACTTTGACCAATGAACTTCAAGGATAGAAAGGTAATAAAAAAGAAAACAAAGTAGATTTTATTTGTCAGTAATATTTATTTTACAGCAGCCATTGAAAACTATTGGCCAGGGGCGAATTGGGGGATACAAACAGTCCCGGAAATTTATTTTTTACCAGCCTTCCAATGAGGGCTAGAGGAGAGAGAGATTCATGAAAAAAATGATAATATGTTCTAGTACTATTCGTACAGTACACACATTTTAAAAATGCATTATGCAAAACATTTCGTTTGCAGTTCAATGTTTATTACATTTGTTATCCGTCTTAGTAAAGTATAAACCTTGACGACCACAAAATTACGGGAACTAAAACTACTTTACACTAAAACGAAATTAAAATTGTAATTTAATAACTTGTTTATCGTTCATCCGCTCTACAAGCCGTTAACGAGAAATTTGACACTAGAGGAATCCCGATTTATATAGTGTTAAAAAAAATTAACAATCTTTTAGAATGGACCGCTGGCCCACAGGGAATTTTCCCAGTGGCCCAATCTGCCCCTGCTCTAGACTGTAGTTTAAACTCATTATAAACTATATACCTAAAAAACCGCGCAAATTGTATTTTTTTTTATATTCCTCTTCATTTCTCCATTTACACACCTCGGATTTTGGAATACGAAGTAGCCCCTCAGTGGCACAGCGGCATGTCTTCGGACATACAATGCTAGAAACCGGGTTTCGATACCCGTGGTGAACAGAGCACAGATAGCCCATTGCGTAGCTTTGTGCTTAACTTCAAATAACACCGAACACGAAGTTTACGCAGTTTACGTGATTTTTAGGTCTATAGGCTATAGTTATATATGGGAATAAAAATAAAAGGATTTAAAATAATAAAAGAAAATATATTTTTTATAGTAGAGCGCTTGCTCCAAACGTTATCCTCTTTAAAAAAAACATTCTTTTATATCTATTTTCCGTAATATTAAATTTTGCTTTTCAGTTTTAAAGTTTTTCTCTCATTTTTCCCTTGATATTGTTTCAATATTCAGGAAAATATAATAACTTGAAGTCACACTTCAACGACTGAACTAGAACAAAATTATAATAATCTATAATAATAAAAGGGCGTGTCTGTGTGTGATCGCCATAACTCCAAGATGAAAGAACCTAGATACCTGAAATGTTGGAAGTGGACCCTGAGGGATGCACCTGGGTATTATTACTTATCCACGTGCGTGTGCGAGCGCGTCTTTTAATGAAGCAAGCTAGCGAAAAACCACATAGAAAAGAATATGTGACCGCCATAGCTCCAAAGGTAAAGAACCTAAAAACCTTAAATTGTGCACCCATACTAAGCGGACCCTGAGGGTATGCACCTGGGTATTACTACGTATCTATGTGAATATGCGCGTGCGCATCGTTTTATGCGAAAAACTACATAGAAAAAAAATGTGTCCATCATGGAATGTTAGATTGTTTTAACTATTATGGGTTTTTATAGTGTGTGTTTTTAACTATTATGGGATGTTATAGTGTTTTTCTTTAACTATTATAGGATGTTATAGTGGTTTTTAACTATTATGGAATGTTATACAGTAGTTTTTAGCTATTATAAAATGTTATAGAGTGGTTGTTTAACCATTATGGCATGTTATAGGGTGGTTTTTGAAGTATTATGGGATGCTATAGTGGTTTTTAACTATTACAAGCAAAAATGATGTGACAAGTATTACCACCCACAACCCATAGTATACTCTAACCTCACATTTCATAGCCAATTAAAATCAATTTTGCGAAATCAAGCTTGGCCAACAAAGAGGCAGAAAATGGAATGTTATACTGTCAAGAACGCTTTCACTCTCCTTTTTTTTTGGTAATGATCAACAATATACATCGTCGTTTAGCAACAAAACTATTATGGAACGTTATAGAGTGTTTTAACTATTATGGGATGTTATACAATAATTTGTACCTATTATGGAATGTTGTACGGTAGTTTTTACCTGTTATAGGATGTTATAGAGTGTTTTAAATATTATGGGATGTTATAGGGTAGTTTTAACTATTATGGGACTAGCGTACTGCCAGTCAAAAATGACGTGACAAGTACTACCACCCCCTACCCCATAGTATATCCTAACCTCACATTTGATAGATAACAGAAATAAATTAATTTTGCAAAATCAAGCTCGGCCAACAAAAAAGGCAGAAAAGTGCAGTCGAGGCAGCCAAACTTCGGTAACTTTTTTTTTAATGAGACAAGCTAGCGAAAAACTACATAGGAAGAAGTGGTTCCTTATGTAACAACTTCTAGTATATATAGAAAAGCCAGTGCTTTTTGGTAACAATGCGTTCTACCAATGGCTTCTATATCATGTTGCTTAGCAATAAAAATATATAAACTATACTTTTATGCTAAAATGGGTTCAGAATACACACACAGTGGCATAGACATCTAGAATATATCAACCTAATAATACAAGCGAAGCCGGGTACTTTCGCTAGTAATATTAATAAAAGATAATAATATTGTTGACATTACAACGGCTTTTACTATGCGAACGCCATTCACAAGCTTGGCGAAGCATGATTGTGATTAATTATGCTTATTATAAAACAATAGTATTAGGCCTATTATATTTTTAACACTACATTTTTTATCTTGTCCTTTAGGGATTTTCAAGAATTACAAGAATGTATAATAATAGTATTAGAACCACACTATATTTGCCATATCCATTGCTGACGACGCGTTTAACCTAATCTATATCTCTCCAGGCCGGCTTGGATACAACAAACACAGTAGTGGTTGGAACACTATCTAAATAAACCATTTGTTAGAACAACAATTGTTGTGTTTGATGAGGAGGAACCTACTTTTAGAGAGAGACGACTTGAATGAGTAATGAAAGAAACTTTATTATAAGTAACAGATGTACAACGTTTCAACGAGCTTTTCTCATCATCGAAACAACTGTTATGATTGTAAACGCCTTTTACAAGTATAACAGGCTTGATGCTACTGTCTTATGGCAAGTATTGTTAATTATGTCACTCACTAGCTGTATCATCTATATTTTTCAAACCTTGTATCCTTTGAGAAATGGCAGTTACCTTACGAAAAGTATAATTTGTTTGAAACGTCTTAATAAATTATTTTATTTCATTTAACTGATGTTTGAAAATTCAAAAACATAAATACTTTAGTTCTCCTGGTGATATAATGTTGTATAATTGTGTTTATTTTTAGTTGCTTTTATCTAAATATGAATCAGTATTTATATTCACGATCGTAAAAACTACGTAATATCAGAAATTTTGATAAAATTATGAAACCTGTTTTCTTCCTGTAATCTGTGAGCCAGTGAATCTCTGAAAACAGTGTTTACTCAAAATTCAGGTTCGGATAAAATATTGTATATTCTGAAATCATATTAATCTTCATTTCTAGATGTGGTTTCTTTCCTTCAATATGATCTAAAAATTTTGAAAACTGATAAAAAAAAAATTTTAGGTCTCAATTGAATAATCTCCTCCTGCAGTTCCTCCCGGTCCTCCAGCAATTGATGGGTTTCAAGCAGGTCAGGCGGTTCGCTCAGGTGACACTATAACCCTGTCGTGTGTATCCCGAGGTGGCAACCCCTTAGCTCAACTTGTCTGGTTTAAGAACAACCAACAGGTTGATTTTTCTTATACGACAAGTGGGCGAAAATCAACCAACAAACATACATTTGTCGTTGACACTTCTGATAACAATGCCATCTATCGGTGTGAGGCATCAAACATAATTAGCCCTCAGCCTATGAATGCTGTTGTCAAACTATCAGTTCTATGTAAGTATTATCAAAGTAGTTTATTTCGTGTTGTGTTTAAAGTTTTCGTTCTCTGCTAATTAATTGCTATAGCAATATTATCTTTTTATTTGTACCGCCTAATGACATCGACGTCTTTGTCATTACGTGTATATGTTCAAATTATGTTTTAACATTTTTTAAATCACTTATATAATCAATTATCCTTTGAACTAAATTATCTTTTTTTTAAGTAATGAAATTATAAGTACAACAGAAATTTACGTAAGAGAAAATGTAACTAATTTTATGATGTTAATCGTTTTTAAAATATCTTTACTTTATTTTGTTGTTTTTTCGTGTTTTCAACAAATAGTATAACAATCAATAAATTTTGGATTTTTATCATTTCATTTGTATTCTATAAGTAGATTGTTACATTTTAATGGAGAATACGTCGTTTTTATAGAAATTCCTATCTTTTTCTTTACACTAAGGAAACTATAGTTAAATTAAATGTTTACAATTATTAACAGATTTATTAAATTAGTGACAAAGTTATCCCATCTGTCATAATCTATATAGGTTAATGGTGTATTTTGTGATATGTAAAATATGCTTATGAGAGCATCTTGAATAGCTGCAATTGGCGTAAAATCTCGAAAGACTATAAACTGATATTTTGGAATAATTTTGAGACTATTAATTTTTAATTTGTTATCTGGATATATGGCACAAAGTATACGCGCTACCTAACAACGTGCAACGGTATGTGTCACGACATCTTAGATAACGCCTTTGACATATAAGTTAGAAGCCTGTTTGCAAACTTCCAGTTTTAAAACTAGATTTTTCCTTTATACTTAATTACATAAGTGATAAATTGAGTGTAAGATGTTTTAGTAGCTAAAGTGTTAAGAATAAGAAAGAGTATTATCTATCAGTTTTTATATGTTTGTTTATGGCAAAACTACTAAAACTATATCCACCGCTAACTCTTGGGCTACTATTTACCAACGAATAGCGGAATTGACCGTCACATTTTAATGTCCCCAACGGCTGAAAAGGAGAGCATGCTCGGTGCCAAGTTTCTATCCCGCGACCCACAGTTTGCTATTCGATCGACTTAACCACAAGGCCATGCCAATCATCTTTTATAAATGTTACACGTATTAAAATTCATAAACCTTATATTGAGAGCATTAATTAACGCATAAACTGATTAGAAAAACAAAGATTATTGAAAATTATACTGAACTTCTTGGAGCTTAATACTCTAGTCAAATAACAAATTTAGAGCCCAAGTATCTGAAGCTTTTTTTATTCTATTTTATTTGTTATCAGAACTTCACACAAAGCTCTAAAGTTGTCGAATGAAGAATTATAATATTTGTGTTAAGTACAATCGCAAAGATAATGTGTCGTAATGAAAGTCTCAAAACAAAACATTCAAGTTGCACTGAAGGCACGTGAATTTTAATGGATGTTACAGATTGGAGTACTTTTACATACCTCCCAAAGATCGTAAAAACTACAGAGCTGAAGAATGAGAAATGATAACACAATAAGCTGCTAATCTAGTGCGATTTAAAAATATATATGTAAGAGATTTTAAATGTTAAGATTCAAAACATTTTTAATGAAATGTAAAGCCGTATATGTTAAAATGTAAGCCATCACTCTAAGAATGTTACAGCATAAAATTAAACATACAACGAGAAAAATTAAACATTTGAGATAAATTATCTCGAAAAAACAATTATAACTTTCATCACTAGAAATGCTTCTCTACGACAAGAAACATAGAATAATTAACTCCAAATAAGTGAAGGAGGGATCTCACGAAAGTGAGTACTAGGATTTTAAAACATAATGATGAGTTGAATATTCAAAGGTCTGAATTTCTTTGTAAGAGAAACGTTAGTGGCATATTTTATCCTGATTGGTCATTTGATTAGAACTCACACGTACATATTTATAAAACACTCGCTTTATTCACATTGTCATATCATCGTGAATTTGCAAGAAAATAGATGATAAGAAGAATCTTTCTGACTTTTGAAAGGGCCTGATAACAGGTACTCAAGAACGTCATTATCAAATGCATTTCGTTCTTTCTTTCTTTGACTGGCTGTTGAAAAATATATTTTATCAAAATTTGTTGATAATGACAATTGAACGGGAATATGCCTGCGACTCGTAAAAACATAATGACAGCAACAAGGAAAAGATGATCGAAAAAGTTTGTAAGGTGCAAGAGACGTGAGGCTGTGTCCCAATTAACTAATTCATTTAATGTTGTTTTCAAGTATACCACAAGAAGAACTCTGTAAAAACTGTTATTTTAGAGCCAAACATTAGTCTAAAAATCGCTTATCTCACGCGCAAACAAAAACGTGTTTTCTTTGGTGTTGCAAGTGCAAAGTTTGTACAGTTATGGTATGGTTTTTGTCTGATACAGTCTGATGAGTCGCATATACTTAAGCGTTGCTGGCGATCACATCCAAATCACAGTGTTGTTACGTTCTGATGAGTTGCGTGTACCTGAGCGTTGCTGGCGATCACATCCAAATCACAGTGTTGTTACGTTCTGATGAGTTGCGTGTACCTGAGCGTTGCTGGCGATCACATCCAAATCACAGTGCTGATACGGGCTGATGAGTCGCATGTACTTGAGCGTTGCTGGCGATTACATCCAAATCACAGTACTGATACGGTCTGATGAGTCGCGTGTACTTTAGTGTTGCTGGCGATCATATCCAAATCACAGTGCTACATTTTAATCTAATGGATAAGGGCTCTTGCGGGCCCGGCATGGCCAGGTGGTTAAGGCGCTCGACTCGCAATCTGCGGGTCGCGGATTCGAATCCCCGTCCCACCAAATATGCTCGCCCTTTCAGCCGTGTGGACGTTATAATGTGACGGTCAATCCCACTATTCGTTGGTAAAAGAGTAGTCCAAGAGTTGGCGGTGGGTGGTGATGACAAACTACCTTCCCGATAGTCGTACACTGCTAAATGCTCGTGTAGCTTTGCGCGAAATTCAAAAAACAAACAAGGTCTCTTCCGAAACGATAATGCAGCAAGCAATCGTGTTTATATTGCACACAATTTGTTCTAAGGACATGACAGCGACTCCGTACATCTTCCTTGGCCAAGTTTCTACCAGACTGAGATTGAGCGTTGCATTCACCACCACAATCTTTTACGACAACATTGAATCAATTGTAGATCGTTCTACTGACTGTTTGGTTACAATAAAGGCTATTGTTGCTCCGAAATGTTGTTCAACGCTATGTTAAATGTGTGTCCCAATAAAAGAGTCAGTGTAATCCTAACTAAATTGGAATTTTCATGCATCTGTTATCCGTTAATTTAGAGTACTGATACAAGAGAATAACAGGTGTGTGAAAGCGTAATTGAAATAATTGTTTGTTTGTCGTTAAGTGCAAAACTACATAGTGGGCTATCTGTGCTCTGCCCATTGCGGTTATCGAAACCCGATTTTTAGCTTTTTTAGCCCTCTGACTTACCGCTGAGTCATCAAGAGACTTAAATAATTTTTGGAATACGTTAATAAACAAATATAAATGTAGAAAACATGACCAATTTGAATGTTCTATTCATTTCAATAGAAAAACGAGGGGCAAAATAATATTTTGAAATATTGCCATATAGAATAAGGAAGATAATTAAGAGCCCTACAGTGGCACGGCGTTATGTCTGCGGACTTACAACGCTAGAAACCGGGTTTCGATACCTGTAATGGGCAGAGCACAGATATCCTATTGTGTAGCTGTGAGCTTAAATTCAAACAAATACTTTAAGAGATAAAATAAATATCATTAAATGTATATACACACACATATATATATATATATATACACACACATATATATATATATTATTCTCTAAAAAATATCTGCCTACTTTCCAAGGTTGTACTGTGTAGGTAAAAAAAAAACATTCACTAGTGTTTAATAAAATAATATTAATGAAAGCGTACAAAACCTCTTCTTATAGCTAAACAATTCAAGGAATACTTTACTTAGGTCTTGCTAAGTATATACCAAAAACGTGTTTGCTTTGCTGAGATAATGAAGCATAAAAATTCCGATCCCAAGATTTAGATCCTCTGTTATGAAATTATTAAATTCCTTAAGCTACTTTCGTTAAACTTTTATTTCAATTTTCATATAAATTCATCTCTCCCTTCATATTTTTTCATAGCTAATTAAAAACGACAAAGCGGCTCACGTACAACAAATTTTTGTATACTTGTCAAAATATCACTCTACACAAACGTTTTTGATAGTAATTCTACCATTCCTTGAATAGTTAATTATAACGTCATTTTAAGCTATTTTGTTTCCGTAAACAAATATTAAGTTTTAATATGTTTATAATTTTTTCAGTTATTAGACAGGTTATAGGAAATTTCCTCGCGATTGAAAATTGTAGCTGTAAATATTATTAAGCTTTTCTAATCTTTAACCTTCTTGGCTATTACATAAGTTTATTAAACTTATTACAAAATATCAAATATTTGTAATTCATGAGAATAATTAATCTCTAACTCGGATAGTTTAATGATTTATTTGAAAGTTTGTCATTAATAAAAACGCTAGTACTTACTTATCTACAACTGTTTAGTTTAATATAATTCATACTCTGTTGTTTAGTGCCCCAACCCAGTGGCACAGCGTTATGTCTGCGGACTAACAACGCTAGACATCGGTTTCAATACTCCTGGTGGGCATAGCACAGATAACCTATTGTATAGTTTTGTGCTTAATTGCAAACAAACAAAACCTATTGTTTAGCTTTGTGTTGATCCAGTTATAAATACGCTGAACAAAATAAATTAAAAATAAATAAGTTACTGACTTATATTTTGAAATAGCCAAATTATCACTTGCAAACTCATAATTGCAATGAAAAGTTTTTGCTTTTTTTAAGGCAAAAAATCACAACCTTAACGAGCTGTAAACGTGGAATCTACAACGCCCCTAATACTATTTTAGATTTCATAGAATGTTTTTTTTTTCACTTTGATAGCAACCAATGTCTTCACTTCATATTCCCTTTGAATCTCTAATTCATTTTATCTATTATCTAATATGCATGAAGTTGAATGTATTTTTGATGTTCTTTATTTTGCTTTATTTATGTTTAGCCACTCATAATAACATTCGCAGCTACATACCATTGCAAATGAAGTTTTCAAATACGCGATGATTAAAAGATCCATTAGAACTAGCATGTCTTTCAAATGTTTTGCAAAATAATCCAAAATTACATTTACTCTTGATGTTGCTGAATCTGTTTCGATATTACCCTAATTCTTATGGCCATATTTCTCTTAAACACTACAAAATATTCTGATATGTTTAAAAGTAAAACTAAAAACTTTCTTCATATTAACAGAAGTTCGAAAAAATATGTTGCTGATACCAGCTGAGTCTTTTCTAAATATATCTTTCTAAGTATTTATTTCACTAAAGACGTGAAAGCATAAAGTACAGAATTATATTTGAACTTAATTCATTGTCATTTTGTATCAAGAAAGACAATTCTCTTTTAAGTAAGCTCTGTTTTGGTTGTCCCCCTGATGGGAAAGCGGTAAGTATACGGATATATAACGCTAAAATCAGGGTTCGATTCGCCTCGATGGACACAGCAGATAGCCTGATGTGGCTTTGCTATAAAAATACACACACACACACACACACTGCTTTCGTTTACATTATGGTTTAGATTTTGTTCATTCATTACCTTTTCAGCCCTTGTTATGACAAACGTATAATTAATCTGCATATTAAACAAAAACGTTTTTACTGCATTTTCTTAATTATTAGTTTCAGAATGCTAAGTAGGTCATATTAAAACAATTTTGAAAATGCATATCAGCAATTTACGTGACAACTACAATCGATATAAAGTTGTAGTGAATCGGTATGTATCAGAACTACATTGTTTGACGTAACGTAGTTAGTGTGATGCCAAAGAAAATTGTTCACTTTCCAATACAAATGTTGGTATATTCAGATCATAAAGGTGTGTTAAGATCTGGGATTTAGACTTTCCAAGACAGGTATACCTCTTGTACTTAATGGCATTGAAAAACAAAGGCATATGGATCAACTAGGAACATCAGGGCCATCCAGAGAGAGAGACCTAAAAAGTCTTATCCCAGCCGTAGTAAGCAAATAATAGATGAAAATCCGGAAACACAAAGGTCAAGGGTATCCTCTGGTTCCACGCAAAAGTACGCAATATAATCAAGAAGGATGTATGTCTGTAAACGAGACCAACAGGGTATAAGTTTATCGACTTAAGGCTTCCATTTATACCTCCTGTTCAACCGTCGCATATCGCAAACAGCTGAAGAATAAACGAATATTCATTCTATTCTATGCGAAGACTCGGCGCTCCAGTCGCATTATACAGTACCGATGGATTTTTGTGTGATCATACCGTTGAAATTGGCGCTAGGAATCTGTGTTCCTGAAACACTTGGTGGATTATGGGAAGCAAACATGGAGAAGTTGTGTGCTTTGAACATTACAGCCTCACGAACAGAAGCCTTTGTCATGGAAACTATGCTGCAGGGTATTGTCAAGATGCAAGATCATCAGAAAGAGCATGACCGAATGGCGAAATGGACGTGATGAGGCTCCAAAATATAACGTACCATGTGTGTATGTCGTGTCCCTTTGAAACGTTTTCTAAAACCAACTAATTTCCTAATTGTATTAAGATTACAGTTTCTCATTTACATTCATTTTAGTCTAGTTTTCTTATTCTAGGTTATTATATTTTTTTATGTAACAGCAACAATGTAGTTAAGGCTGACGAGGAGTGCTTGTCTGAAACTCGGCGAAAAACAATAAATAAACGGGTTTTTGTTAAGACTTGTGAGCAGTAAACGGGTTGTTTTTGTTTGTTTGTTCTTTCGAGGAAAGGGGCGCTACTGCATTTTCACCAAAGAAGAACCTTATAAGTAGTTAAAATATTGAGCTATTAGTGAATAAGGGTTATGATTATCATGTATCTCTTTCATGTTATTGTGACGTATAACTCTCATAAAGAAGTTATCATTTTTCAGTCGCTTCTTCTGAAGTTAAAGTTTCAGGGCCGAAAGAAGCTAAACCAGGAGAAGCCGTCACTTTGTCTTGTGCAACAAGTCGAAGTAACCCAGCAGCTGAGATTAACTGGTTAGTTGACGGACAGCATTTAAAGGGAACGAACACAATTTCAGCTGACCCTAACGGCGGATGGACAACCAAGTCTAACGTTACTGTCATCATAGAACTCCAGGTAATATTTTCTATCATTCTACAACTTGCATTTAAAGCAGTGATACTGTGCTCCAACTATCTCCATACCTTTATTCTCCAGATAATAATAAAAGTTCTTTTATTATTAACTAGAGAGTAAAGGTAATTCTTTTTCTAACTTTATTCCCAAAGTGTCTAAATCCCTCCTGTGAGCGCTAAAAATTCGAAAAAACAATAAAATACTTCGATACCTCACTCAAAATAATTGTAGAGTAGCGCTAATTTCTTCAAAACAACAGCCGAATGTTGCACCTATCCCATTACTCACCTGAAGATAATATCCCAATGTTTAGCTACCATTATCTTATTTATTTAATAGCAGAGATAACCGTGTTACAATTATTCCAATAAATGTTTTACAACAAAGAGAGTGAATCTCAACCTTCACGATATTTAAAGGCACAGAGTGTGTGTCGCACTATTTTTTCATATATTTTTGCTCAACTTTTGATGACTATCCTCTGGTAAGGTGCGGTAAAGAAATTTATGACATCGTAGAAAAAACAATGTAAAAAAAAAATTCTATGAACAGCTTATGAAAAATATATAATTTGTAACGTTTGATTCAAACCCGTTCTTATATCTTCTACATTGTAGCCTTAGGTTTATTGACACCTCCATATAATTATTCCATGTTGTATCTCTGAGTTTATTAACACTTTTGTATATTTATCACATGTTGTAAGCTTTAGTTTATTGACTCTTGCTTCTACTTATCACAAGTAGTGACTTTGAGTTTGTTAACACTTGTGCATGTTTATCATATGTTGCAAATTTGGGTCAATTTACCCTTACGTATACTTATCATATGTTGTATTTTGAGTTTATATATACTTCTGTAAATTTATCTTGTGTTATTTTTACAGGAACGACATTCAAGAATTTTCCAATGTTTCGCAGTAAATAAAGAACTAGGAGAGACTAAAGTGGAATCGCATGTACTAAGCATTCTTTGTAAGTGACACTTGCCAGTCATACTGCGATAGCTCAACAGTATTGTAATGTATTCGTTTTCTTTTCAAAATACAAAGTTAAATCGGTATTAAATTTACATTTATAGGTCAACTACATGGCTTTTGTTAGCTGTACAACATTAGATATATATATATATATATATATACATATGCATACATCTGCATGTTTTAAAGGGAATTAGTTGAATTGAAAGGATATATTATATCATTTTTATTTTATATATTATATGTTTTATTTTGATACGCGATTTGTTTACCACAATAAGGTCACTCGTGTATTTCGACACACTATTAAATATTAAGGAGATGTTCGTTTGTTTTTTAAGTGCATTGATTAAATTGAATAGTGGGAGACACCCGGTAAAGTGGTTAATCATTCTGGTAACACACGGGGAGTAGTTAAGGGTCTGTATGAGTTGCCTAGGAGAAGAATAACAGTAGGGCTTAGACACTGATATTTTGTGGGTGCGAAACTTTTTAATATCCTTCAGGAACAAATACGTACAATTAATAAATCAAAACAATTTAACAAAACAGTCTAAAAAGTTTTGATTTGAATTAAAAAGAGGTGGATGAATAATTGAAGATAAATACATAAATAATGATGGTAAATAACAATCAATAAAAAAAAATAACTAAGCCTAAATTATAGGAATAGTAAAGAAATGTAATCTAAAATCTTATAATAATTTAGTACAAGAAGCATCTTTATTTTTATAAATAATTATGTAATCACCAATTCACTTTAAACAGTATCCATTGTTAAACATTTATCTAAGAGGCAAGCCTAACTATATTTAAGTTTATCATTTTGTTTGTTTTTAATCTATGAAACACCTATGTTTGTATGGAGTTATACTGAGACCTTCCACAGCACAGGGAACTAAGCCCTAAAGTGGGAAGTAATTTGAAATTAAATTTATTTTTGTGTTAGTAATATAAAATAACACAATATAGGATTTTTTTTTAAATGTTATTAAATACAAAACATACCTCTCTAAGCTTATTCTGTCTTCTGGCTCACCATCAGATCCCCCCGATCCTCCTACCATCCTTGGCTTCACTAAGGGGAGATCGATAAGAGCTGGGGAGACGCAGAAAGTAACGTGTGCTTCCACTGGTGGAAACCCTCTTCCTGCTTTGAAATGGTTTAGGGAAGATGAAGAGGTAAAGCTTGGGTTTTTGTATTAATGTTTTTTTTACCCAGATTTCACCCTCATCTTGCGTAAAAGCTGATGAAACAAGAGTAATAACTTTCAGTAAATAAATTCATGCTTATTATCATTATCATATCCAGTTTGGAAAAAAATATCATTTGTTTCACATACTTTCATAAAATGGTTTTACCATTTTGATCAGAAATAAGAATCTCAATGAGAAGGCGTCCTCTACATTGTTTTTATTTATTGAAATTTTAAATGTTAGGGAACATTTATGACATAACTGAAAAGCAGTGTCTTTCCTATTAGCACCCCTTTCAACTAATTATTTTTTTTTACTCCTTGCTTTAATCAGGTAAAATCAGTCAGCACTACTAGCGGCAATGTCGTCAGTAGTGAGGTTACCATAGAAACCAAAGAGAGAGACAACGGTGTAGAATATCGCTGTGAGGCTAGCAACTCTGCTTCAACCAAACCCCTCATCTCTGAGATCAAATTGACTGTTCACTGTAAGTTGTAATTGTGTAATGTTATACTCGATGGTACCATTAGTGTAATCCCATATATTTTTTTCTCTGTGGTGTAATAGACTGTTTCCCAGAGAAAAGTTTCCTTAAATAAAAAAAAAAGTATTAACTTTTCTTTTTGTTACATAATATATAATACACTTATTACTATATTTTGATTCAATTGCATCTGAAAAAATCTTCTTATAAACGTTTTCGACAATTTAAGGGTTTTTAATCTGTTAACGCAGTAAAAACAAAAAATGTGACAGGGGTTCGAACCCACGACCCGCAGATTGCGAGTCAAGCGCCTTAGCCACGTGGCCATGCCTGGCCAAATTTCAATGTTATAACAATAAAGCTTTTATCCCTCTCCCACCAAAAATGCGCGCCCTTTCAGCCGTGGGGGCGTTATAAAGTGACTAACAATCCCACTATTCGTTGGTAAAAGAGTAGCCCAAGAGTTGGCGGTTGGTGGTGATGATTAGCTGTCTTCCCTCTAGTCTTTAACTGCTAAATAAGTACAGCTAGTGCAGGTAGCCCTCGTGTTGCTGTTAATGGCTGGAGACGGCTTAAATGGGTAATGAAGATAATATACAATGCTGTGTCTATCACAGTTATCGTAAAAAGCTTATTGACTTACCATTGAGCCGCTGGGAGGCTAACGTGTAACTTATTTATAAAAAACGATAAATACATTTTCTTTCTTGTTGAATATAGTATATTTAAAATTAAGTTCTGTTAATAAAAGCTTTGTTTGGTTTGGTTTGTTTGAATTTCGCGCAAAGTTTTGTATAGCTCTACGCTTAGCAACAAACAAATGCTTTACTTTTTGGGTAATGTTTTTTATAAGAGGGCACTGGTGGAAAATCTAAATTATTGTTAACTTAAAAAAATATCCAGAATTTGCCTAAATTTCAATGAATAATACCAAAACGACTTAACTCTTTTAACACTGGGGGAAATGCTTGACAATTTAAACCATATTCCTTAGTGATTTAGTTAAACAAAGTAAAGCCGTGAAATATGTGTTTTGGTTGTTAAAAATATTGTAACGGATTTCGAGACTGAAAATATATATTTATTTGCAAAGTAGCAGGTGGATGCTATGTTTCATGAGTTCTTAATTTTCAAAACTTTAAAGCGAATTATTACAGAATGAAGGAACTTTTAGGTATTCATGTGATGGTCCGTTATGATGATAAATGAGTTTCTAGTAGCTAAGACTTTGGTACGAATTATCCATTACATAAACACTACTGGATATTAATTCAATTTTGTTTTCTTAAATTGAAATGGAAAAGTGTTAAGATTTGTTTGACTTCTTCAATTCTTTCCAGTTCCACCATCTGGTGTGACCATAAAGGTGAAACCTCCTAAGCAAAAAGCTGGTGGAAAGGTAAATTTTCGAATGTCTTTTTATTATTATTATTAAAATGTTTCATGATTATTTGTTTAAAACCATCAACTATACTCTAGTTATTTCCGGTTGTAAACGTTTATTTATATGATATTTTATTTCAGCTTGTTGGTTAAATAACTCATGTTTTTAATCAAATATGCTCTAAGGAATTACTTCAAGTGTAGCGTTGTCTTGTAGCATGCTTTGGTAATTGGTAATTTCAACCTAAATGGCCCATTTTTGTGGAACAAAACCTAACCAGCCACATCAGATACTTCAAATACCTCATCCTAAATTCTGTTCACCAGAGTGAGGATAACCAGCCAGCAGCACGCGCTTCCTATGTGGCTACAAACAATGGGATTGACTGTTACAGGTATAACGCCCTCAATTGAGAGTGTGTGACGTGTTTAGAGGTGCATCGCGGCTCGAACCTTGGACCGCCCAACCCACAGCTTGAAATGCTAGCCGCTAAGTCACGCCCGTCCTACTACAGCAATGACAATAAGTGGCGAAGCTCGTACTTTATATTTTAAGCATTCTAAATGGTTTTCTTTTTTCATTAACTCCTTAAACATAATTACAGGGTTTTTTTTTCTATCTTCAGGTGAATCTTATTTGCGAATCAGCCAGTAGTAACCCCGCTTCCCTGATCACTTGGTGGCGCAATGGTTTCCTCCTTCAAGGCTCACCAAGTGGCATTTTTGACGCGCCTCACGGTGGAAAATCTACAAGGAATCTACTGCAATTAAACGTGACATCGGAAGACGACGGCTCTCGTTACACCTGTCAAGCAATGAATGAAGTTTTAGAAAGGAGCGTGCATAGCACAGTTACTCTGAACATAACCTGTAAGTTTCAAAAATTCTTCCACTATGCTAAAACTGTTTTCTCTAAGGAAAACCTTCCTACAAAGAAACAATAAAAGACAATCGTCTTGACCAACCACGAGGCTGTGATAACAGGACTTTCTCTCTTAGAAAGAACCTAAATACTAGTCTCTTCGGCGAGACTTGAAAATCAAATGCCTTTCAATTCTTTTTCTTGTATTTACCATTAGTATGGAACTATTGTCAAGTAAGGCCTGGGATTCTGAAAGTCAAACTGTTAGCGCTGTTTTTTTTATCACTAAAGCTCAACGAAAAGCTTTTTACGTGATACATTTGCTGTTAATGTTGTTGTTTTTTTGTTTTTTTCTGCTAACGAAGTACGAGTTGTCTGCAGAAACAAGCTTGTCACTTTCTATTCATTAGTTCAACACGTTTTTTTACGGTCTGAGTTAATATAGAAAATATATTATTTTCGATAAAAAAGAATTGTAGACGTTGTTTCTTCTTCTGCTGTCTTAAAGAATATTTATAATAAAGAATTGTAAACATTGTTGTTCTTCTGCAGTCTTAAAGAATAATTATTATAAAGAATTGTAAACGTTGTTTGTTCTTCTGTAGTCTTAAAGGATAATTATAAGTAAAGAATTGTAGACGTTGTTTTTTCTTCTGCAGTCTTATAGAATATTTATAAGTTTAATATACATTTTAATACTGTAACCGTTTTTTAATTAACGTGACTGACACATTTTAGTTTGACATTTTTTTAAATAACAATAGCTGTTTTGTTTCATACACTAATATTAAGGGTGAAAATCTAACAAAGTATTGCATATTTGACCATGAATACAACAATGTGATTTATTCCACTAGATAAGCCAGAATTCTATAAACTTCAAAAGGAAATCTATGATATCGTGGAAGGAAATTCAACATTCATTAACTTGACCGCCAGAGGGAATCCTAATTTCATCACCTACAATTGGGTGAAAGATGGAAAGCCTGTAGTCGACATTCAAGTGGACAGAGAATTAAACAACTTCAAATGCTCTGGTGTTTGTTCACAAGGTCCAATTCTTAGAATCACCAATGTAACGAGAACTAATTCTGGCAGATATAAGTGTGAGGCCACCAATGAAGAGGGAACATCAGAAACAACTATCATTCTTAACGTTCTATGTACGTGCACAAGATGAAGAATTTGTAATAAGCTTGAACACTCTGGATAGATAGATAGATATTTTTGCTGTTTCTTTATTAGATATATAGATATTTTTGCTGTTTCTTTGTTAGATAAATAGATAGATATTTTTGATGTTTCTTTATTAGATAGATAGATTGGTATTTTTGCTGTTTCTTTATTAGATAGATATATATTTTTGCTGTTTCTTGATTAGATAGATAGATATATATATTTTGCTGTTTCTTTATTAGATAGATAGATAGGTATTTTTGCTGTTTCTTTATTAGATACATAGATAGATATTTTTGCTGTTTCTTTATTAGATACACAGATAGATATTTTTGCTGTTTCTTTATTAGATAGATAGGTATTTTGCTGTTTCTTTATTAGATAGATAGATATTTTTGCTCTTTCTTTATTAGATAAATAAATAGGTATTTTTGCTGTTTCTTTATTAGATAGATAGATTTTTGCTGTTTCTTTATTAGATAAATAGATAGATATTTTTGCTGTTTCTTTATTAGATAAATAGATAGATATTTTTGCTGTTTCTTTATTAGATACATAGATAGATATTTTTGCTGTTTCTTTATTAGATAGATAGATAGGTATTTTGCTGTTTATTTATTAGATAGATAGATAGATATTTCTGCTGTTTCTTTATTAGATACATAGATAGATGTTTTTGCTGTTTCTTTATTAGATACATAGATAGCTATTTTTGCTGTTTCTTTGTTAGATAGATAGGTATTTTGTTGTTTATTTATTAGATAGATAGATAGATATTTTTGCTGTTTCTTTATTAGATAGATAGATATTTTTGATGTTTCTTTATTTCATTTAAGAGCTCTATAGACAGGAATTTATATTGATTGATATAACTGCTGAATTCATTCATACTAGAATAGATATAACCAGTGGGCAGAAATTCTTCGCTCGTATATTTATACAACAGGGATTTTTTTTCTTGTCCCCTGCCTATTCACTATTATCATTTGTCATGCTATTCTTTTCAACTAATTGTATACCTGTATCGTACTCCGTTTTGAATTATTTGAATTAACTTTTGTAATGATGAATAGCTAGAAAAGTAGAAATACCTGAACTTATAAATCGATACACCTTTACTGCTGTTTAACTTCTTCCGATATGCTTATTGATTTAACTAAAAACAATATAATTTTCGTGACGTAATTTTGCTGTTTTTAGATCCGGCGACCATATCCAAAGTGACCCAAGTAACTATGGTCGAACAAAGTACCAACGCTTACTTAGAATGCGTGGCTGGTGCCAACCCGCTTACTGATAACATGATATTCTGGCGTCGACTTGACTTTGATATGAACCGGACAAAGCATTATTTGGAAAACGGCCATTCCTTTTTAACGATCTACAATGTGTCTCAAGAAGATTCGGGAGCTTTTCAATGCGTAGCAGATAATGGTATTGGACCTAAACATCTGAAGGAATCCTACCTGGTAGTGAAACGTACGTTTCAACTTAAGTTATTTATTTGTTAGTGTGTCTGTTTGTCTATCTGTCTGTCCATCTGTTTGTTTGTTTAGTTGCGTTGAGTACTAAGTGGCAATCCCATGGGTCGTGCCAGCAGGCGTTTACCCCTCAGATGGAGGCCGGATGCTTTGCAGGAGGTAGAAAAAGAGTTCTACTAATGATGTTATTAGTTATTTATCTTCTGATTGTATACCTCTTGCTAATTCCACCCCACCCCCCATCTTTTGCTTTTTTTAGCTACGCCATAAGGTTCTTTGTTTGTTTTTTGTTAAGCATAAGGCTGCACAATGAGCTATATGTACTGTATCCAGCGCAGAGATCGAAACACGAGTTTTATTATTATAAACCCTCCAGCTTACCACTGAGCACGAGGTGGAAAACTTCGCGAAAATTTGTTATTTTTAAGTAAAGCTTAAATGTTCATACTGTAGTTTCTGTTTGATGTATTAACTGTTGGAATGGTTTCAGGTATATTTAGTTGAATATGTGATTACTTACAAGTACATAGAATAAGGTAAAGAAACGATTAGTTAAAGTTGAAATGTTATATTGTGATTATAACACATAACCCAACTCTGGATCTTCTACAAGGAGAAAATATTTGGTACATTATTGTATAATTAGTGTAGTAATAGGTTCCAAATATACTATTATGATCCAACAGAATGATTATGGTAGTCCCACCTTCAAAGTTTTCAAAGCTAACTTAATGTTCTGTTATAAGCTTCTCGGAGAGGTAAGATATACGCATTTCGAAACATATTCTCCAGTCTAACATATAAGTTCAATCGAAAATATAACTTGCTTTTGCTATGATTGTATTATGATTATAAAATGCTAAAATAATGTCGTTTCATTGGCTCTCTCTCTAGACAAGCCCATAATTGACAAGTCATCGCCTCTGTTAAAAGCTGCCAGTGAGAAAGGTGAAACTGCGAAACTAATTTGTAGAGGTAATGGTGCACCAAATATCACTTTCACGTGGTCGCACGAGGGTGCCACTGTTAGTGGTAGCATCAGACCTGTGAAATACTTTACTGGAGTATCCAAGCTTGATCTTATCACGTGGGAGAGCATTCTTTATGTGAAAGATGTTAAGAATCACGATTACGGTGTTTATGAATGCGTTGCCAGGAATGACCTAGGATTCGATAGCGTAAAGATTACTCTAAACTCAACAAGTAAGTAACAGTTATTCTAGACTCAACAAATAAGTAGCATTTCAGTTGTAGAGATAATTTAAGCTAAACATTCATGTTTTTAGAATTGTTGTATGTGCTGCATTTAAACACGATTACATTTGCTTAGACATTTACTTAAGCCTGAACTATTTCAACAAAAGTGTAATGTTTGAAACTATCATTTGTAAAACGTTCCTGCGAAAGAGTTTGAGCACATTATATGCAACTTTAAATTATTTAGTACCGATAAATTATTCAATTGTTATTAATAGGTGCATATAACGTTCGCGTTTATTACTTATATGCAATTTCACCACCCATTTATTTTGTCAGGAGTTATTTGTTTCTCACCTATTGCATTTAGGTCAGCCGGACCCACCTATCGGTATGAAGGTCTTGAATGTCGATCATAACACTGCGATGTTGAAGTGGAATCCTGGATTTGATGGAGGACTCCCGCAAGCTTACAGAATTCGTTACAAAGAAAATGGCTACGAGGCCTACCAGTATGCCGATGTACACCCTCCTAATGCTACAGTATATAATCTAACAGGATTAGGTGTAGGTATGGACTATACTCTCAGCATACAAGCATTCAATGAAATGGGAGCTAGTGAGTTTACAACCGACATCGTAAAAGTCAAGACATCAAGTAAGCTATTTTGTATACACACGTGCTAACATTTGTTTGTTTGTTTTAGAGCAAAGCCACATTTGACCACCAGCTGTGTCCAACCCCACAATTTTAGCGTTGTAAGTCCCTAAACTTACCAATGTCCCACCAGAGGAAAACGCTAGCACATTACATTTGTTTGAAATTATCAGTAAAAACTATTTTTTCATACTTTAGTTATGTTACCCGAACAGTCGCAGAAACTTATCAGCAAATAGCTAAAATATTTTCCTTCTTACTTTCAGCACAAGCCCTAAAGACAGGTGTAAATAGTAAAGTTAGGCCTCTTTCAAGAGTTCCCTTTATTCCATTTAGTCACCTCATCTTCCATGTGGCCTTCTTTCTTGTGGTTCCCAATTCATACTATTCATTGGGTATCTATATTTCAATGTTTGTTTTAGCCCAAAGCCACGTTGGGCTATCTGATGTATCCACTGCGGAGAATCTAACCTTGGGTTTTTGTGTGGTAAGTTCGTAAACTTACTGTTGACCCACCGAGAAACGGGATATATCTATATATTTCCATTCGTTGTGTATGACCATGCCATTTCAACTTATTCTTTCAATAGTTTCCAGTATTAATGTTACATCTAAATCTTCTCTAATTTTTGTATTTTTCGTTCTATCAAGACTAATCACTAAAGCATTAAAGCACATGTTTCACGAAGTTGTACAGTCGTTTGTATTTCTTTGGTTTACGAACGAGGTCTGTTTACGGTTTACGTTGGCACGTAATATACCCTTGTTATGCCCCTCAGCGGCACAGCGATATGTCTGCAGGCTTATAACGCTGGAAACCGGGTTTCGATACCCGTGGTGGGTAGAGCAGACGTGGTGTGTAGCTTTGTGCTTAACTGCAAACAAACCTTTATATAAATGTTATTTCATACTATTCAGATGAACTTGAACTTATGGAATACAAAATAATAATCTATACTTAATTAATCATGTTTCACTATTGCACAAATTTGCCCCACCCAAACATAAAACCAGTTAAGCGGGATTTGATGTTAGTGCTTCCTATTTATGCATATGTACTTTTTAACCAAAGGTGAAGTTCCCGATGCAGAAACGGAGAGAGCCATAACAAAAGTACTTTCTGAGAAAGGAGAGCTTCCTCGGATAATCATCGTCTCTGTATCAATTGTAGGAACGTTCTTGCTTGCTCTCAACGTAGTACTTGTTATCTGTTTCGTTCGACGAAGGCGAAAAAAAAGACTAGAAGAAGGTACGTGCAATGAGTATCTAACGTAATTGGTTATGGATACGTATATATTTCTTTCAGTATATCGTTAAACTAAGTAAAGTTCGCTTGAAATAAGTGAAACTAAAAAATTTAGAAAAAAAGAATAAGTATTTTTGTTTCTCACAAAATTGACAGTTATTGAATTATTTTACTATAAGCCCTAATGACCCTGTTGAAGTGAGAAATCTTTAATCGTAGCTATGTTATTACATCGTATTATACACTATCCTACCAAAAGTCATGGGACACCAGCAGTTATAGATAAAACATGTCTTTTTTTCCAAGAAATTATCAACGTGTTGGCCCGCCTTTGGCCTTAATGACTGCTTCAATGAAGACTGTCTACTTATTTCTGGTAGGAAAGCTGGTAGTATTATGCTCTACTCCTTCTTTGAAGCATTGACAAACCCCACTACTGAAGAGGGCCGTCTTGGCCTTGCCCTAATTCTGCGTTCCAGTTCATCCCAAAGATGTTCTATCGGGTTGAGGTCGGGGTTCTGTGTTGGCCACTGCAATGTTCCGATGTTATTCTCTTCAAATCACGTGTTCACAGTCCTTGCTTCGTGACACGGAGCGTTATCATGTTGGAAGATGTAAGGGCCGGTACCATAAAACTGCCACAATGTAAGGCTCAGCGTTCATGGACCCATGCACTACGACCAGTGGACCTAGTCCATACAACTAGAAACACCCCCAGACCATGATACCGCCACCTCCAAACTTTACTGTTGGGACAATACACTCAGGTGATAAGCGTTCTCCAGGCATCCTCCATACCCAAACACGTCCATCAGACAGGAAGAACGTGTAGCATGACTCGTCGCTCCACAGGACTGATTTCCATTGATCCACGGTCCAGGTTTGGTGTGCCTTGCCCCATGCCAATCAACGGTGTGCATTTGTTTTTGTTATCAACGGCTTGTGGGCTGAATTTTTTCCGTGAAAATACATGGCATGCAGCTCTCGACGTGTTGTGGAAACATTCATAGGATTGCCTGTGGCTGCTCGCATCTCCTAACACAGATTCTCTATAGTCTGATGGCGAGATGAGATAACCAGCCTTCTGAAGACACGTCGGTTCTTGTCAGTCAGTATTTTACGCCTACCTGGTCGTTTCTTGGGCTCATTCTCTCCTGTGGACTTCCATTTCTTCAGCACGTTGTCAACTGTCGACCTGGGAATGTTTAATTGTTGTCCAATATCACGTACAAACATTTTCCCCAAATAACATCCAACTATCCTGTTAGCTCTTTCCATGTACTCATCGTTTGGTGTACGAGTTCAAAATGACTTCCGAGTCAACCACTGATCATCTTTATAGACCAAACTGTTTGCATATTTCGTCGTCACACTCATTTTCCTGCAATCACAGAGAGGTGTGTCCCATGACTGATTGTTTTTTTAATTATCTTAGTTAAATAAAAAAGTATTTGATATTGGCTAGAACGACAGTAATTACGCAAAAAAAATCTTAAGGAGAGAAAGCTTTTTTCTGTGAAAGTTCTGACATTGAAAAAGAGTAAATTTAAACAGGGAAGTAATAGAATATTTCCAATGCGCAGTTATTCTCTGAAAGAATACCGAAATTATTATGTCACGAACCCCAACATTACCATCGTTTTTATACCATTTGGACGCTCGTCATCAGCCTGAACAGGATATTATCTGGCGATGAATGTATGATAACCTGTGAATCTTTTGACTGAGTATTTATGAATTTGATTTCTAGAGACATGTCTCAAAAACTGAATTGAATTAAAATACCGCTTGTGAGTGAAAACAAATTATCATGAAATTTGTGTGAGAGGAATTCGGTAGGAAGGTGTCGGTGCTTAACTCATAAATAATTTAACATAGAAGATGAAAATCTAAAAATTATTTCATTTGGTCAGGAACTAGGATCGACATTATCAAAGCACTGAGATTTATTAGCGTTTCAGCGGACACCTGGAATTAAGAAACATCTCTGCATCTTTGATTTAATTTTACTGTTAAATCAAATAAACTAAAATAACCAAGAAAATTATAAATTTTCATCAAAATATTTCACAAGCACACAATAAGGTTAAATTGAAATATATAACTGATTAAGTCGTATAATTCAAAGATATAATTGAAATCACTAAAAATTTATAAATTTCACTAGCTTGTAGAAAAGTTCTTCTTCTCACAGTTTCTCTATGTTCTTAATGTTCATGGTTAGTTAGGCTTAGCTTCTTTCTGAACTATTCATTACATTCTTCTATTTAACAAACATGCTAAGCTATTTGGTTTAAGTAATAGCACGATTGGAAGCTTTGGAAAATCCATTGTTATCGAATTTACTTTTGTCGATTTGCTTTTTTTGAGACTATTCCTCATTCTTCTGTTCTCGCTTCAACGACTCTGTTCCTTGGAGTCAAAAAAAAAATATTTGTTTTACGTTTGCTTGGCATATATAAGGAAAGTGGTTTATCAGAGATTGTTGTTTTGTAGTTCTTTACGTCTGCTGATCGATTTTTCAAATTCTGTTTAAAAATTTATAAAGTGTATAGGTTATTTGTGGAGAAAAATATGACGTTTTTTGAACTTACCTTCCTAAGGGCAACAGAAAAACAAAACAAAAATTTACAGTAGTAGTAGTACATTATAAGTAAATTATTGCAAACTAAAGAAAGACGAAGAAGAGAGGTCAATTATAAATTTTTTGATATGTTAGAGAATGAGATAGATGTTCCAACTTGTTTGCATCTCTTTTTTTTCTGCATGCTGCTTGTGTAAGTATTGCGGAGACTGGCCACATTTTGTCAGAGTAAGTATTGTCACTAAATATTTTTCAGAGAAACCTTAATCAAGGGAAATCAAACTTTTGTCGCATTTTTCAAAAATTATATTGATATGAGTCAAGTGTACAACTTTCGAAATTTTAGAAATTCCGTAATGCTTAGTGATCTACGTGAGACATGTTTAAAAAAGTGTACATTGTATGTTTTAGTGCCTGCCATTCGATTAAAAAAAATGTGCCCTTTATAACTTTTGTAACTTAGAAAATCTGATCTGGTACTCCCTGCAAAAAAGAAAACAATTTTTTTGCCAAAAAATATATATATATCTAAGAAATATCAAAGTTGCACTTACTTTAACCTAATTCATCTTAGTTGACTTTTGTTGGTTTCCGAATTTTCGCGCAAAGCTAAACAAAAAGTTACATAAACATCGGTAATTTGAATTAACAGGAAGACAACTAAGCAACAGCTACCACCACTCTTTTGAGCTATTCTTGTCTTACCGATTTGATCGATACTCTTGTAATGCACTTAAGGCCCCAAAGTGTGGATTTCGTTTTTTACGGCAACAGGTCACGAACCATGAATCTTCAAATTTACTATCCGAGCACTTTAACCATTAGGCTATGTTCTGCCCCTATCATATTTAAGGCTTAAGTTGTCGAGTTTTGACATATTTTATTGAAGTGAATGTCTATGCTGCTTTGGTGTTATTATACGTTGTTACGTTTTACCAGAAACATATAAAATTGAATTTTTAGTTTTCATGTATGAACAAACAGTAGTTTTTATATCAAATAACATTTGCTTCAGAAGAAAGCGACCAGACCAGCAGTAAGGCTGCCACAATCGAGATGTATGCTCCAAGTAGCTACAATGACACAGTGAATGGAGAAACCATGAGTTCCACGTCTGAGAAAAGTGAGGGTTACTCCGATGGACCGAGCACTGGGGAATATTCAGTAGGTTAAGACCTAGCAAAGTTAGCAACAAAGGAATGTTCTTTCTATAGAAAATGTAATCCTTGAAAGAAAATTGTATGATATTTTGCAACTGAGCTTTTCTCCTTACGTTAATACTGTCCAAAGTCTATAATATAATTATAGAATAAACTCAATATTAAAAGACAATACTCAATAATGGTTTTATTTTGAAAGCTAGCACAATTACGGATAAGAATCTAATACCATTTATATTGTTGCTCTTCATATTTTAATGTTGCCCAGGTAAATTTATTAGTATTTCATTAAATTAAGTAAATAATTAAATAAGTCAACAACGTTATTATTTCAGAGTTCTATTATCATTTTTTCCCACCAGTTATAAACAAGAATATTTCATACTAGAAAAATCAATGTCTGCTACTACAGTCTACTAGTTACTAACGTATTCAATAATTTGTGCAATAGATATGAGCTCAGTTGGATAAATATTTGTTGTGGATGAAATGAAATTGATTATAAAATGCCATCACATGTGTGACACGAGTTTTTAATTTGTAATACTAGAAAAGATTGTGTAGCTCAAAAGGTAACCCTGAAATATAACACCGCTAACTGTAAAGATGAAATAAAAAATTATCAAAGTGTGGATCAACTAGCGTAATTATGATATCGAAATATAATTTAATAATATAGGCATATTCGAGGGGCTGTCTTTCAGATTAAAAGTTGTAAGCAGATATGAAAAATATGTTTATACGACTTGTACCACACGTTTGTATAATTTTTTAATTGCGTTAATGAATGATAGCCAATCATTGTTATAAGAATTGTTTGTTTGTTTTTGAATTTCGCGCAAGGCTACACAAGGGCTATCTGCACTAGCCGTCCCTAATTTAGCAGTGTAAGACGAGAGGAAAGGCAGTTAGTCATCACCACCCGCCGCCAACTCTTGGGCTACTCTATTAACAACGAATAGTGGGATTGATTGTCACATTATAATGTCCCCACGGCTAAAAGGGCGAGCATGTTTGGTGTGACGGGGGATTCGAACCCGCGACTCGCAGATTGCGAGTCGAGTACCCTAACCACCTGTCCATGCCAGGCCGTGTTATAAGAAATTAGTGGATTATACTCACTTGGTATTGTAAGAAATGATTAAACGATCACTAGTCAATGTTATGAAAACTGATAGCAAGAAAAATGTGCGGATCATCTTGCGAAATACGTTAAACAATATGTTTATGTGCGGATCATCTAGTTCCCATCTCTCGCGAAATACGTTAAACAATATGTTTATGTGCGGATCATCTAGTTCCCATCTCTCGCGAAATACGTTAAACAATATGTTTATGTGCGGATCATCTAGTTCCCATCTCTCGCGAAATACGTTAAACAATATGTTTATGTGTGGATCATCTTGCGAAATACGTTAAACAATATGTTTATGTGCGGATCATCTAGTTCCCATCTCTCGCGAAATACGTTAAACAATATCTTCATTGTAAGCCTAACATAAGCAGGGTGAAAGTGTTTGTTACTCAAATCTATAGTTCTTAATTGACGGACTTATAAGTAATCTCCGCTGCTTAACCTTTGTCGCGAGAAGCTGTTCGTCCAGTCGAAGAATTACAATTTTAAATCAAATTACTTTAATACGTGCATAATACATCTCTTTTTATTACAGGAAGAGCCTGTCAAACCCGTTCTTGCCAAGTACTTGCTTGATCAGGATAGAGATTCCTACATTCCTGACGGAACAAGTCCTCATAGCTCACCTTATGGTAGATACCCACCAGAAGGTAACAGCATAAATGTTCCTGTTTGTTCCTTCGAATATTTAAATAGTTTGTGTAATGTTGCCTCATTGCCATGTCAGTAATAATATAAACTGATAGTGTTTGGCGAAAAGACTAAACAAATGAAACAATTTGGGTTTGTTTAAATATTTTTAGTGTAATATATCCCACCACGTGTTTAGAGATATTTAAATATCTGAGTATTATTTTTTAAAGATTGGTGAAGACTTTATAAAATAGGCTTTGGCTTCTCTTGCACTTTTTTAAAGATTTTTTTAAGTGTTAATGATCTGACATATACAAATAGACAGGACTAACTTAATTTTAATACAAATATATTATTCTGACAATTTCACAGATATGTAACACATACATACGTACATATAAACAGTACTATCGTAATTTCCTTGACTGCGAATTTTCCCTTTCATCGTGTTTTTAGATATTTCTCTCATTCTGAAAGTGGTTATGAAAACATTCATGATGAGTTACACGTTAGTAATACCTGTGTAATTTAATTTCGTAAAGTCACCATACGACTCTGTTTCACATTTCTTATCTGTTTATCACGTATATGGGGTATATTATTCTGTTTAAGTCCTACGTAAAGCATTCACAGCAGATGTGCAGTGATGTGCAGAGAGTTTTAAAAACAGGAGTAATTTGGCAAAAGAGAATGATTCTACCCCCCCCCCCCACTGTCACAGCCGTATCTAAGAAATTTAATTCATTTTAATTAAGTTTAATATTCCCCTCATACACACATACACATGTTCAGAAATATAGTTTGATACCAAACTTCACAGTGTAACTTTGTGAAATTGAACAATACAACACCCAGAACTGTATTTCAGTTTATTTTAAAAATAAAAGGCTTACTTTCATTCATTCTTTTTTTTTTTTTTGTGCTAGGCTCGATACAATCCTCTCTAGATACACAACCAGAATTATCTCATAGACATCTGTATGAGACTGAAGAAGAGTTTTATGTTGATGCACTGAGAAGAAACGCTTTTAACCAAAAACTGGGTGAAAAGGTAAGGTTTATGATACGTTGTGTTAATTCACTAACAGATAAGAAAACAAACCCTTTTTTAAACTGTATATAGGTGTCCAAAAAAGTAATTCAAAATACAGGTCATGCATAAATAACTTCTTTAGCTTATTGTCAACAGTATTCTTGAACAATATTACCTGAAGTGTGTTACTATGAGCTTTATTTCCTGTTTCTGACTTATACTCCCAAAATCAAACTGTTGAAATAAGAGTAATTTGATATGTATTTTTATAAGTATGGTATCCATCACATGTTGTAACTGGTTTATTCAAGATGTTTGGATATATCAATAATATCTCTTGTGTGTTTAATCTTTAATATATCTGTTAATTTTTTGTAAGAAGTATATTTTATATCTCATGTTATTCAGGTTAGTTACGGAAGAATTGAGTACAACTCACCCCCTCTCCCACCAAGTAGAACAGCAGCCAGTGGGGGAGAAATATACAACGTCACAGCTGACGCTCGCTACGTCCCTTTCACTGTCTCAAGGACTGCTAATAACATGCCAGTTTTGAGCACCTTTAACCCTAATGTTCCAGGACCTAGCCCGGGCGTCTACCGGGATCAGATTCCAGATGGAATTACAATTGAGGAAGAGATGCCTGGTCACTTAGTGTGATAATTAGTCTTTGGAAACTGTGACTAAATACAAGTAACTTCGTTGGTCATTTTCCATTGTCCACCATTAATCTACTAGTAAACAACAGTGTCCGTGAAAGACGTAAGGAAGATTTAACGGCCAAGCTCAAATTTCTCTGAGTGTCACAGATTTAATGCTGAGTTTAAAATAATCAAAGAGTTAAATTATTGATTATTGCAACCATTTTCGATCATAGAATCTTACATCACCGATATTACACGTGAAAGAAAGATTTATATGAACATACTTCAATCATGAAATGTCTTCATTTTTTAAAATAGATATTCCTTCACCTTGGTTTTCCCTTTTCTATCTCCAGTACAAGTTCTTGTTATCTCAGTGTGTGTGTGTGTGTGTGCTTACGTTACAATATTTTAACAAAATATCAAGATAGGTAAACGTCATTTGACTAGAGCACCGGCCCTACTGAGTGTAATCTATCTAAAAATGACGGTGAACCGGAAGAAGAAATCAGCTCAGTGGATGGTCGTGCTTCTGGCCATAGGAGTGTGATGAATGTGCCTTACTTAGAAGCACTGAGACTAAACTCTGAAGCACGTTCGAAGAGTTAAATAACTGGCAGTTGTAACACTTATTTTCGTGTCACGTTTGGTACTTTACAGACAATCTTGAAAGGATTTCAAATACGATATTTTCTTTGTTTGATGATTAGAATATATTTTACTTTTTTTATGAGGAAACATAGGTATATTACATAACTCTTTTTGTTTTTCTGTGAAAGTCCTTTCTGTACTTTAATTATGCGAACAAGGGAATTATACAAAATAAATAAGTTATTACCTTAACGATGAAACACAATGTCAACCAATTACCTGAATTACTGGCTTGTACTACCATGGAGAAAAAAAATGTTGGCGTTTCTATGTTGTTGAAATAAGAATATTAATGCCTGTGTGGATTGTACATAGATTTACCAGTTCTAAATGATGACAATTAAATCTGTTCAGTAACAGTACATGAATATATATATATCTAGTCAGTCTGTTTACCAAAGGCAGTTTACTTAGTTTAATAAACAGCGATTTTAATGTTTAGTTTGTTTGCTTTGTCGAGAACATAATGATCTTTCTCGTTTAAGCAAAAATGTATATACAGTTAAAGAAAACAAGCCAAACTATCGTGGTTCAAAGTGACGAAATCCAGCTCCTGTCAGAGCCAAACTAATATTAAATAATTACAATTTTATCACATTAATTGATCATAAATTTATGTCATTGTTGTAACATAATACTCTGCTATTTCATTGTTGTGAATAAACTATGTTTTCATAGCACAGTGTGTCCGTTTGAATGTTTTCGAATGTTAATCAACGCTAAAATAATTAAAGTAATGGGTTTTGAAACCGAACCGACGACTGGTGTATTTTTTTCTTTGGAAGTTATAGATAATCATGTAATTACCTTCCATGGAAAATTATGCTTGTACAGAAAAAATAACTAACGGAAATAACCAAAAACTTTACAGAATTTTATATTATAACTTCTTAACTTTGTGCGAACTTTAAGTCATCAGACAATTATTAACTAATAAATGCGTTAACATCTATCATCTGAAAGATCTCAGTATTACTCTCAGTTATATTCGATTGCCAGTACTTTTCAGAAATGAATTTCATTGAAAACTTTGATCAGTTTTGTTTTCTCTTTAGAAAAAGTTAGTACATTATTTTGCGAATGTTCCTTTTTCCACTTTACTTAAAACTGTATTTTATAGATGAAATTGCATTATTTGAAGTGAGAAACCAAAAATGCTATTACGCCGATTTTTTCTTCTTGTCTGTTGTTAAGCCCAAAGCTACACAATCGGCTATCTGTTTTCTGCCTACCACGAGTAGCGAAACCCGGTTTTTAGCGTAATAAGCCTTCTAGACTTACCCTCTGAGCCACTGGAGGGCTATAACGACGAAAAAAACCCATAATATTCGCTTTTTGCTTTGCTTTTATAGTCAAAAATGTATTTCTTTATTTTAAACTTTTTGTTTATTTTGCAAAATCATTTCAGAATTCTGAAAACATACTCTACGAAACATTTCTACTGAAAGCTTTTTTTTTCTAGGAAAACACCGAGCTTCCTGATTTCTAAACATTGGTACAGAACTTGACAAGGTGGAACTAACGAGATGGTAACAAAGAAGCTATTTAAAGAGAACAGAGTTAGAAAAACTTCTGATACCAGAAGAGGACGCCGTGTATTTGCGATCCACCGTTTTATATAGGATCGTATCTATGTTTCTCAGCTTTAAGTTACGTTTTTACTTACCGACCACAAAGTTTAATACTAGCCATTCCAAAACTCCAGGTTTACATGGCCGAAACAATCTAACTTGTGTACTTCTTGTTGAACAGAATCACCTAGCAACTACAGTAAAAACAGACATGTTGCTTTTGCAATTTTTTAAAATAATAGTTGATTTATTTTCCACTAATTCATAAGAGAAAAGATTTGTTTGTCTGTTATTAAGCACAAAGCTACACGAATGGCTATTGCTCTGCCCACCACGGGTATCGAAACCCGGTATCTAGCGTTGCAAGTCCGCAGACATACCGCTGTGCCACTAGGGGGGGGGGCATCACCTTCTCAAAGCAGCGTACTTAAAATACTGACGGTCGGCTGTCATCTTCCATCAGACCACACTTTGATCAATAGAAAAAAAAAAGTCCACAGACATGAAGTTACCATGATGGTATTGCGTGATGAAAACTTCACTTAAGTTTATAAAGTATCTGCAAGTGACATATTTTTATACACAATGAAAAAAACCCTCCCACCCAAGTGGCACAGCGGGATGTCTGCGGACTTTACACACGTCCAAAAACCTGGTTTCGATACCCGTGGTAGGCAGAGCAATAACCTTTGTGTAGCTTTGTGCTTAACAACAAACACAATGAAAAACTTGAGGTTTATGCATATTAGTACAAGATTAGAGGGGCATAGCCGAGGGAGGGGTTGTAAGGCTCGAACCAATACTCTAAAAAAATCCATTATATTGTGATCTCTTAGACATTATTTTTATGAAAATTACTTAAACTATTTATATAGAAGAACAGGTCTACATTTTTTCTTGGAAAAAGACCTGTTCACTCTTTAGTGTTGAATACGCCCCTGTAAAAATACCATTTAACCAGTTTTTCATAAACGCCCCTGTAAAAATACCTATTAACCAGTTTTTCATAAACGCCCCTGTAAAAATACCTATTAACCAGTTTTCCATAAACGCCCCTGTAAAAATACCTATTAACCAGTTTTCCATAAATAACTGTTAGATTTATGTTTCATTTTCTGAAACAGATTGCGGTTGTAGCCCCGTTGAAAAAGTTTTAAAGTAGTTCACACACTTTTCATTAAAACACTGCATTTTTCGTGCTTATTTTTGGGTGATAAAGGGGAATAAAGGATTTTTTGGAATATATTCCTTGCACCGACAAACGTTAGTCTCTTCTATTATTTTAAAATACACGTTAGAACGCCTTTTAAATACTTTTGTAGTGTGCAGAATTAACCAACCATTACTAACGCAAGAAAATAAAGCAGCACGCAAATTAATGTTATTTATCACATCCTAAGCAAACACTTCACTTTCACGTTCTTTCTGTGCAATTCCCTTTCAATTACCACAAGTTTTCTCCAGTCACGAGTGTCGTAAAAGCATTTCCAATTGCTTTAATTACACGTTCAAGAGTAGAATACCGTTTATATACTATATCAATAAACCACTGAACTGGGTTTGTGTTAAAAAGAATTATGATTAAACACTTCAAAGCTAAAACCAGATCTACTTGAATCAGAAGCTATCAAAGTAGGCGGCTGTGTGGGGTTTGGTGGGGTTTGGTAGTTAGCATTCCCGGCGTGTGGACTAAAGATTTAAGGTTCGCATCACGCCGCAGAAAAAAAAAATTGCGTTCCGACTTTTCTGTAACACTGGGTGAAATGTTTGAAACAAACAAAACAAATATCAACTGGGTGAACAAGAATTTTTGAAAGTGATCGGGTTTAACTGAGCCTTAACTACAATTGTACACATATATATATATATATATATATATTGAAAATTTTAAGTTCCCATTCTTTGAGAAAAGTATTTTTTGTGCACTGGATTGATTGTCACCAAGCCTTTTGTGTATTCTTAAGGCCACCAGGAGAGTAACGTAGGAGTAAGGGTTCGAATCTGATTCCTCTATGTCACTCCAAAGAACTTCTATGTCTTCTCAGTTGTCATTCCTCTTCTACTGAAAATAAAAATAAAATCATGATTAAAACTGTTGGAAACACTGTACTTAAAACAACTTCATAAACTCTTATCTAGCCCAAAATGACAATCCAATAGCGCATTTTTACCAGTATCTGAACAATATTACATAATATAAAAATATCTTTAAGATTAAAACTAATCTAGTCAAGCATTTGGTGTAAAGCAATAAGTATTTATGTTTAACTGTTTAGCACAAAAGTACAATGTAATGTAAAATAAATTTCACAAAACATAAGATTTATTAACTATATATATATCTTTTTTTCAATGACGAATAATTTATTTAATTGTCTAATTACTTAATAATGTAATTCTTTATTTAGTTCAAATTCTGGAGAACAAAAAGTAGAAGAAGAGGCGATGCGTATATAATTTCTACTAACAAACCTTTACGGAAAATGAAGAATAAATAATATTAAATATAACTAAGAATGAGATGACAGTACTTAATCAGTTTGTTTTTAGCACAAATCTAAACAATGAGGTGTCAATGTTCTAAACGCTGCGGGTATCGAAATCCAATTTTTAATTTTATAGTTTTAAGACTTAGCACTAAACCGTCAGGTTAACAATAAGTG